ATCCATTATGTAACTTCAGGCGAAAAGGCATGCTTGCAGAACATGTCTTTTTTTTTTTTGATGTAACATTTACATGACATAAAATTAACAATTTTAAAGTGTATAATTGACTAGCACCTAGTAGATTTACAATGTTGTGCAACCAGCACCTGTGTCGAGCTGCAAAACATTTTTATCATCCCAAAAGAAAACTCCATACACATTAATAAGTCACTTTCCATTCCCTTCTCCCTCCATCCCCTGGCAACCACCAATCTGCATTCTGTCTCTATGGATTTACCTATTCTGGATATTTTATTTATTTATTTATTTATTTTTTATCTTTTTGAGACAAAGTCTCACTCGGTCACCCAGGCTGGAGTGCAGTGGTGCAATCTCGGCTCGCTACAACCTCTGCCTCCTGGGTTCAAGCGATTCTCCTGCCTCAGTCTCCCAGGTAGCTGGGATTACAGACTCATGCCACCATGCCCAGCTAATTTTTGTATTTTCAGTAGCGACGGGGTTTTGCCATGTTGGCCAGACTAGTCTTGAACTCCTGACCTCAGGTGATTTGCCCACCTCAGCCTCCCAAAGTGCTGGGATTATACACATAAGCCACCATGCCCCGCCTGGATATTTTATTTAGATGGAATTATACAATACTGTATGTGACCTTTTGGGTCTGGCTTCTTTCAGTTAACGTAATGTTTTCAAGGTTCATTCATGTTGTATTATGTATAAATACTTCATTGCTTTTTATGACTGGCTGAATGATACGCCATTGTATGGATATACTGCCTTTATCCATTCATCCATTGATGCCTTTTAGTTATTATGGATAGTGCAACTATGAACATTTGTGCACAAGTATTTATTTGAGTGCCTATCTTCAGTTCTATTGGGTGTATACCTAGGAGTGGAATTGCTGGGTAATCCTATGTATAACTTACTGAGGAACCACCAGACTCTTCCACAGTGACTCCACCATTTTACATTCCTACCACACATGTCTTTTTATAAATAATTTTAGTGCTGGTCAAACCTCATTTTATGAATGAGGCCCAGAGAGGTTAAGTAATTTGCCCAAGGTCACACCCTTAGTCAGAGTTTAGACTAAAACCAAACTTTCCTGAGTTCCTAGCCTTTCAAACACTAAGAGCCTCCCATGTCACCTTTAAAGACCTCGACTACTTGCCCGAGTTTTTCATTGATTGACTTGACAAACCTGCCTGGTGAACAACTGAGCCGTATTTATGAAGCTTTTTTTCTCTCAACATCTGTTGAAAGAACCTACTGCCGTGTTCCCGATTTCTAGGCCACACCTTGAAAACATGCAGAGCTCACAATCCCTGCATCTGCCTCCTGCTGCTGGCCTGTCGGGCCCTCTTCTGTTGCCATGGAAACCGTGCACCTCAGTTTTGGCAGCAGACCAGCTGGACAGCGAACTGAGAACATCCTTGTCTCCTAGGCTAAGCAGAGCTGTCAAGGTCATGTATTCATTCACTAGATTTGTATTTACTGATTACCTACTAAGCACCAGGCTTTTGTTTTGTAAGATGCTAGGGATACAGCAGTGAACAAGCCAGACCACAGATCCTGCCCTCAAGGAACCCGTAGTCTAGAGGAGACAGACAAAAACCAAGGAACAAAAAGGCTTCACCTGGCTCCCCTCCCTAGTTCACATTCTCCCAATCTTCCAGGCTGTGCTAAATCCACTTCCCCTGGACCATCCCCCCAAGAGCCCAAATGCAGGTGATAGCTCCTCTCAGGATTTACGTTGCATTTTTTGTTGTTATTGTTTTTCCCTGATTGTAAAAGTGCTATGTGCATTGTGGAAAATGTAGAAAATACACAAAAGTACAAAGAAAGAAAAATTAAATAAAGATCTGTAATTTCACCACCAAGAGTCAAGTGCTGCCAACATTTCCTTCTGGTCTTTTTCTACCTATGTATATTTCTGGGGTTTTTTTGTTGTTTTTTTGTTTTTTAATTATTGGGTCTTATTTTACACATTGCTTTATAAAATTATGTCATTAAAAAGATTTTTTTTGTTTGTTTTTTTGTTCTTTGATACGGAGTTTTGCTCTTGTTGCCCAGGCTGGAGTGCAGTGGCACAATCTCGGCTCACTGCAACCTCTGCCTCCCAGGTTCAAGCGATTCTCCTGCCTCAGCCTCCCAAGTAGCTGGGATT